AGATTTAATAACGAAATTCAGTCACGTAGCTGGATACATATTCAACACTCACTGATCAATAGCACTCCTGTAACCAAATAACAAACTCACCAAGAGAGAAAAATTATGGAAACAGTCCCTTTCACAATAGCATAGAAAAAAAATGAAACGCTTAGGAATCAATCTAATGAAGGAAGTAAAAGATCTTTACAATGAAAACTACAGTACTCTAAAAAAGAAACTGAAGGACTGAGGTTTTAGCTCAGTGGGCACTGCACCTGCCTCGCAAGGACAAGGTCCTGAGTTCAATCCCCAGTACCAAAAAGAAAGAAAAAAATTAAAGAGGATATCAGAAAATGGAAAGATATCCCTTGTTCTTGACTAAGAAGAACAGGTGAAAATATGAAGTACAGTGACAGAGTGAAGTACAGTGAAAATGGCCATACTCCCAAAACTGTTCTACAGATTTAATGCAATCTCAATCAACATACCAATAGTACACCGCACAGAATTAGCAAAAATAATCCTAAATTTCATTTGGAATCAGCAGAGACCTAGAAGAGCAAAAGCAATTCTAGGGAATAAAGACATGACAGGGGATATTACAATCCCAGACATACTACAAAGCTACTATACTATACTATACTATACTATACTATACTATAGAAACTACTACAAAGCTACTGTGATAAAAACAGCATGGTACTGGCCAAGAAAAAGACCCGAGGATCAGTGGAACAGATCAGAAGATGCAGAAACAACTCCATGTGTCTTCAGCTACCTTGTCTTCAACAAAGGAGCCAAACACCTTCCCTGGAAGAAGGACAGCCTCTTTAATAATGGTGCTGGAAAAACTGGCTTTCTACATGCTGAAGACTAAAACTGCACCGAGCTGTGCACTAAAGTCAAAATGGATCAAAGACCTGCATATTAAAACAGAAATCTACTGTGAGAGAACAGGTAGAAGTCTTAAAGATATATGTGTAGGCAGACTCTATGACAAAGTCCCAATTGCACCAGACATAACACAATGAATCAACAAATGGGATCTCATCTTTTTAAAAACCTTTTGCATAGCAAAAAAAAAAAAAAAGAAAAAAAGAAAAAAATCACTAACAGTGAAGAGACAACACAATGTAAGAAAAAATTTTGCCAGCTGTTCCTCAGACAAAGGACTAACATCCATACTATATAAAACACTCAAAAAATCAAAGGCCCCAAATTTAAGGCCCCATCCAAGATTGGGCATCTGAAATGAAAAGACATTTCTCAGATCAAGAACTAGAAACAGCAAACAAACATATGAAAAAACGTTCACTACCACTGGTCACTGGAGAGCTGCAAATCAAGACAATGCTGACATTCCACCTCACCCTAGAAAGAGTGGCTGCTATCATCACAAAGTCAACCAATTGAAAAGAGACTTATTGGAAGGAATTCAAGAGTACAGTGAGGGAACCAGCCAGTGCCAGACTGCAGGGCAAGTCATCAAGGTGGGGCCCAGGAGAGCAGCAGACAGGAGGCAGGAAAAGCTGATGAGTCCACTGAAGTATGGAGGCCGGCGGCAGGAAGAGTTCTCCCAACCACAGAGGATCAGGCAGTTGTTTCCCTCAGGCCTCTGACTGACCGATGGATCCCCCCATATCACAGGGTCGGTTGCCATCTCTCAGACCACCATCCAAGCATCTCTCCCAAACCGCCTCACAGGGACGCCTGTGATAATGCTGGGCTGGTTACCTGAGCATCTCAAGTTCCAGCCTAGAGGACACAGGATGACCCGTCATGGTGTCCACTTCCCACAGACAATGGGGTGACCCAGATGTGAAGGACGGGGACAGTAGGGAAGGCAGAACTGTGGAGGCTTGGAAGACCCAAGGAGGCGGGTGGGAGGTGGCACGCAGAGCTGTGCAGGAACTCTGTTGCTCATTGCCCGTCTCCGACCAGGGTGTGTTTCGGAAGGGAAGGGTATGAGGACAACGGGCACAGCTGTGGGTACAAAGCCCCTCCCTCTGAGCACAACTGTGGAGCCATTGGTAAGCATATGCACTGTGACTCTGCTTGTCCACGTGTGGAATTGTGTGCTATGTCACGGGGAGGGTGCTGAGGAACACAGGTCAAAAAGGAAAGCAAAATGTCTAGGCAAAAGCAAAAATCTGCTTCCTTCCCTTGCTGGCTGCCACTGCTTGGAGACAGTGCTGCAGTTTTCAGGAGACTCACAAAGACACAGCTGTGACCTAAATACTAATGCCAACCTCGAGGAGGCAACAGTTCACTCGTCTGCCGGCAAGGGCACTCTGGTCTTTCCAGAAATGAGACTCTACCCATTCAGTCTTACAAGTCTTCGACAGAGAGCTTTACCATGGCCAATTCACCATCAGAAATATCCGGTTTCCTCCACAATATCACACAGAACAGAAAGTCGCTCAAGATGCCCAGGTGCTCAGAGAGCGTAATTACTGATGAATGAGTCTTTGCTCTACCTTCAAAAGACATCACTGTGTCACTGAACTTGCTAACTGTCTTCCGTGGGCTCAATTCCTGCAACTGCAGAGTGGAACTTTGGATAAAAGGATCATTACAGAGTCTTCTAGTTTTAATTTTGTATCCATGATTTCACTACTAGATTCCTGCCCCACCTGCCGTTTTAAAAAGTACCATGCTGCCCTCATGTGGTCACACATGGAGTGGCCTGCAAATGAGTGCTCCAACCTTGAAACACAAGTTTGGTTTTGTTTGAAGGAGTAAATGAAAACCCATGCTTTAAATTAAAATTCACAGAGTCAATAAACAAATTAGATCAATTGGAAACACCTATCCACAAAATGCCCCAAGCATTTACCAACCCATACAGATTCAATTTCCCCCCATGGCAATAACACTAATAGGACTTAAAATTAATGAGCATTTTTTGTGTGGTAGACATTACAAACTATTTACATATTTCATCTCATTTGGTTCTTTTTTAATCTTTTTTTTTAGATGAGGAAATTAAAGTGCCATTGGTGAATGTGCCAAGATGTCAGGATCATTAAGAGATGGCCAGTTTCCAATTCAAGTTGTGAGATTCAGTGGCAAAAATAGTGCTCCCATCCCCTCAGGCAGCCATGTTGTGCTCCCATCCCCTCAGGCGGCCATGTTGTGCTCCCATCCCCTCAGGCAGCCATGCTGTGCTGGTGAGGTCATCTTCTCTTACACTGTCTGTCTGTTTCTAGGAAACACTGATAAGGAAAGTGGCATCAAATGCTTAAATATGTAATGAGATGTGATATATATAAAAGCTATTTTAAGACAACTCTTCATTGAGAATGGGCGCTCAGAGACCGGACACATTTTAATGATGTGTCATATCACTACTTATACAGTCCTTCCATTTGGTACTGAGTATTTATTATAAGTCATGACGTGAACTGAAAATGAGAGAAAATATCTCGTGCCACTACTGTGTGACCATTTTCCAGCAGTTCAGACTTTGTCACTGGTGAGCACGGTGGCAATCTGTTCCACTTTGTGTATTCATGGGTCAGTGCTGGGGAAAGGCACCCAAGGCCTGGGGAGGCCAAGCAAGCGCGATGCTTGAACTGCTCTCCACACCTCTGTTTGAAATTGTGTAATCGAGGAGAATTTTTTAAACTTTTGTAGCAAGATGGGGTGACTATGAAACAGACGAGCAGCAGGTGTGTTTAAATTCACACAGTTTTGAAAGCAAGAAGAGCTCCTCCTCTCTGAGAGGCGGGAGAAAGTACTGAAAGATGAAAGTGGGGGTCGCGCTTCCATGCCACATCCTGTCCCCAAATACCATACACACATTGTTTTCCTGCACTGTTAGGCCTCTTTTCTATTCCAAACCCCTAAATGCCTCTACTGTAGAAATGCAATCAGAAGCAAAACTCCTGTGTTTTCTCAGTCAGTGAGAGTATGCGACAGGCCACTTCCTCGGTCAGCTGGGCTGGTGCGCAGGTGTATAATACACCTTGCTTTTTCTTTACAGCCAGCCCGCTATGGCCCAAAACCTGAGAAACTGAGCTGAAATAATCCTCTCCTCTTTGAAGACATGGATGTCAGACCTTTTGTCTGGGCAATGTGAATTTCAGCTGGGTGGGAATTACAGAATTTATGAAACCTAGATAAGGGAAGGTCCTTAGGAGATCACCCAATTCCCCTGGTATGAATGGCAGCTCTGTTGACATTAGCGAAGAAAGCCATTAAGAAGAAAGAAAAGGAAATATCATACTCTTCAGATGTGAAATTGTTAAGCAGGACTTAAAACGAAGGCAGTAAAGTCTAATGTCAGTTTTGAATCCTGCCACGAAAGGAATCTTCACAGCCGAGCGATGACTGCTCCATGAGCCAGCTCCTACGACACCAGAACTTTTCACTCATTGTCCCTAAGCACATAAAACACCAGAACTAGACATTATTGCTTCTCATTTCTACACAGTGTGACCAAGTCCGGAAATGACAAATAACTTCCCTAAGGTCACAAAGCCCGTGACACGAGAAAACCATGTTTGTCCACGCAGGAGCGCAGGGCTCTTCTTCACTGTGTCGTTGGCTTTGCCCGGAGTGTTGACCCAAGCATTACAGTGCGCAAATGTGACACTGAAAATGGTGATCACATGAGAACCACTGAAACCACGCAGACTCCTAAAGCAACCAAACTGAATAGCTCTGCAGGTGGGCTGGTGCCACACACCTGTGCTCCCAGCCCTCTGCTGGATGCGGAGCAGGCCTGGAGGCCAGTGAGGGATACTGCGTGAGCTAAGCACGGCCTGGACTGTACAGCAGACCCTGTCAGCACACATGCAAAAGCATTCCGCTGCCAACCACCTCTGTGATGTCTGCCAGAGCTATTGGATTTTCTATAGTTGTTAAAAATAGGGTTCAAAACCTGGGCGTGGCCTTACAAGAGGCTGAGGCAGGAGGACTGTGGTGAGTTCAAGGCCAGGCTGAGCTAACTATCCAGACCCTGTCTCAAAAGAGCAGAAGAAAGAAATGCATAAACAAACAGATTACTGACTTACAGACATTGTGGGTTGCTCTCGGATGAGTTCCTTCGCAGGTGATTTTTTTCTGTGTCTGTCCTCTGCGAGCCTCCTCCTTCCTACATGTCTGCATTGGGATGAGGTGAGAGTTGCACAGGCAACAGAGGTCAAAAGACATGTGATCCTGTCCAGCTTCATCTAACCTGAAGAGAAAGGACAGCTATGAAAGCAGAAAGTAGCATTAGTCATAAGAAGCTATTCAGATTAAAATATACCGGAAGTGTTGTTTTAGACCAAGAAAATGCTAATCGCTTGCTATTAAAATGACTGCATAAATGAAGAAGTAAGTCTCAGGCTCCTACAATAACTAATGGGCATGCAAAAACATACTGTGCTTGACAGCTGATCCCAGATTTTTCCGAGCCACTCAGGCCTGTGGGATCCTGTGAACGCAGGACAGAAGCGACACTGCAGTGGAGGTTAATAATGACCTTGAGATAAAACCATTAGTGCTTTGTGTACGCAGCAGAGCCAAAGCGTTGGTTCCTCGGCTCCCATTCATTCAGATGTCAGCGGAATGGAAACACGGAAGCGGGCTGCAGTTTCCATGGAAACTTCTCCAGGTTTCAGGTGCTTCTCGGGCTTTGTGTTGTGTTGGGAGACCAGGAGGTCGCGGAGGCTTCATCCTCTCCTTCCCCCGGCAGAGCAGGGCTGGGGCAGGGCCACCTCCCCCTCTGCCCTCCCACAGCTCGGGGCAGAGAAAGGGAGAAGGGTCCCTTCTGTGGCTTCCTGACAAATCTCACTCTTACAGCCGCCACATCGGATAGCCTTTCTTCTCCCTGGGCCAGAAATAGGAGTGCGTCTATGTCGTATGTAGAAGTTTACGTACTATATAAACGTTGGCTATGTAGGATATTTAATGTCTAGAATACGTAATTTAGGGGGCATATTTTCTGGTTCAGAGTTTGCATCATCCTCCTGGAACAGCCATGACCGAAGGAACTAAGGGCCAACTGCAAGGGCTGCGGGAACCCACTTAACAATTCAACAAAAACAGTAAAAGTAATACTTTAAGAGGCAGAATCCAAGATGAAAGGTAATCGAGTCGTTCGCCCAAACCCTAGGCAATTAGGTGCCTGGAAGAATAATATCCTTTCCCGTAAAGTAGGGGAAAATTTTAAAAAGAAAAAAACTCGGGGGAAATACACATGCACTGTTGAACGGCACGCTTTCCCCAAAGCCACACAAGCACCCAGGAAGCTCCGACTGCGCTCCAACGTTGGGTTCAAGAAAACCCAACAAAAAATAAAAAGTATAGTAAGAAACAGCACCGTAGCACCTGAGCCGGCCCGAGCCTGCAGACGGACAGACGGACGGACGGACGGACGACCCAGTGGACTGCTCACCCTTTCCTGCTAAGGACCTCGCGGAAGTTCCCAGACGGCTGTGGCATCTCGGGTGGTGCCGGGATGCAAAATCCCTCAACTCCCCACACACCCACCGTGGAGCTGATCTTTCGTAAGATTAGTCTCCATTCAAACAGTTCCCCACATCAGCCTTTCCATCTTTCTCAGCGTACATTTCGAATTACTTGACGACCTTTAGCCGGTGCCTGCAGGCTTTGTCCGAGCCCTGGGGGCTGCAGCGAAGGCGTCGCGGGTGGGGCTGGGGTCCTCCCCTCCGCCACTTCAGGGTGGGCCTCGCCCAGGCCAGCGTGCCCTCCAGTCCCCCAGGAGAGGCCCAAGACATCGCTGTGGCTCCAGCCCAAGCGCATGCGTGTCTGTCCTCCCAGCCTGACTTTCAGTAACATTTTCCCCGCTCAAATCCTCCTCTCCTCGAGGTTCGCAAACACCCAGGGCAATCTAGGGAGTGGATTCTGGGAGACGCACGCTTAGAGAGCCCTGGTGACTCAGCACCCTGCCAATCATTCCTGGGTCCTAGAGGCCCAATCAGAGTGGAGTCTGGGAGAGGCATGCTCAGAGAGCTCTGGTGACTCAGCACCTTGCCAATCATTCCTGGCCATCTCTCCTAGAGACCCAATCAGAGTGGAGTCTGAGAGACGCATGCTCAGAGAGCCCTGGTGACTCAACACCCTGCCAATCATTCCTGGGTCCTAGAGGCCCAATCAGAGTGGAGTCTGAGAGACGCATGCTCAGAGAGCCCTGGTGACTCAGCACCCTGCCAATCATTCCTGGGTCCTAGAGACCCAATCAGAGTGGATTCTGGGAGACACATGCTTAGAGAGCCCTGGTGACTCAGCACCCTGCCAATCATTCCTGGCCATCTCTCCTAGAGACCCAAAGGGAAGCCCCGGGCAGCGGGTATCCTTTAAAATCCGAAAGCCTGATTTATCAGTGTGCTGTGCTCTTTACTTCCCTGCGTTCCGGCCCCACTTGGGCGTTTGTGCCACGTTTTTGTGGGCGCAGACTCCCTGACCGCATCTTCCTGTGATGGTCAGTAAACGTGGCTGCCTTCTGCACCGGGCACACAACTGCACGACTGCGCTTCTCCTACCCCGGATCCTGGGCTCTCAGGCCTCACCGCTGCGCACACCTTCCAGCCTTGAGAAACCTGCTAACTGCGGCCGCATCCAACAGCTTGTGTGCTCCGTGGAGAGACCGGAGCCAGCGCTGCCCACCAAGCTTTCCCATACTCTACCCACAGAGGCGGGTGACTTAAAAAGTCAGTATTCACAACCCACGGAATTCTGGACTTAGGTTGTTTGACAGCAGTGGAGAACTAATACAAGGCTGGAGAAAGCACCATGTGCTGTCTGGCAGTGACTGACATTTTCCTTCCTCCTACACGGTATCACCTGTTAGAGATTTTGTCACTTCTACTTCTCCAAGTTAAAGCCTTTCAACCCACTTAACGGTTGTTTTGTTTACTCCGTAATAGATCATTTTAATCTCCCTCTTAAATGACCTCCTAAGGCTGCACTGTGCGCTTCTCCCCACACCATCAGCGCCCACTTTCGTTTCCGGAGCACGCCAAGTGTACTTCCTGCGCTTGAGCTGATCCTGGAGCTCGGCTTCTCTCTACCCAGAGACCTGAATGCCCAGTGGCTCACCCTCCTCGCCCTCTTCTTTCAGATACCGGGGATGGAGCCCGGGGCGTTCGCACTGTCTCCGCAGGCTTTCTTATTTTTCAATTTGGTGACTAGGTTTTCCTGGGTTGCTAAATTGCCCAGGCTGGCCTAGAACTTGAGATCTTTCTGCCTCAGCCTCCTCAATCCCCACCTGGCTGTGTGCAACTGAGCCCGGCTTTTCTCCTCCTCAAGTCTCCTCATGAAGAAGGCTTTCCTCAGATGGCGGCACGCACACGCTCCTGGATCTCCTTCTTCTGTGTATTGGCCCTTAACATTTGCAGTAGCCTCAGCACAGAGGTCTTCTCCCTGGAAGGCGGCTCCACAGGGGCAGAGCTCTTTCTCTGTGGCCTTAGGCACTGAGGCACGATGGTTTCCTGGCGCGGTGCCTCACACTCAGTAACCGTTTACAGAGGCGACCTCCCCGCGCAGCTTGTTTCAGACGAAGTTTATTTGACAATATCATTTATCTCGGGAATAGGACGACTGCATTCCTTTGAGTTTTCCCAGTCAGAGGCTCGTCGATCAGGGTCTGTGGTCTCAGTTTTTATACACAGGAGAGACTTCATGGGCCGAGTGAGGTGTAAGAAAAGGCCAAGAGCAGAAAAGCTGTCGAGGTCGGTGTGAACATTGATCTGCGGACTTACCGTCTAATTAAATATTTGTCACTTTGTCTTCCAAGACCAGCGGACCGCATCGCGGATGTAAATAAGCAGATTCCCGTGCCTTTCCAGAAAACCAAAGGGAAGCCGAGGGCGCGGTTCTGCGGGACGCGAGCGCCCCCTTGCCGGCTGTGCGCGGCAGGCCTGGGCTGACCCCGCGGCAGAGAGTGAAACCAGGGAGCGG